TTCGGCGCCCCACAAAGGGCGCAACCGAAGGCTTCGGGTCGATTTTTGCGCGCCCCTCAAACGGCTCGTGGCCGCACAAGGGGCGGAACCGAAGGCCTCGGGCCCATTTCGGCGCACCCCTCAAACGGTTCGTGGCCGCACAAGGGGCGGAACCGAAGGCCTCGGTCCCCACAGGGGGCGCAACCGAAACCCTCGGGTCCATTTCGGCGCACCCCTCACACGGTTCGTGGCCGCACAGCAAGCGCAACCGAAGGCATCGGGTCCATTTCGGCGCACCCCTTGCACGGTTCGTGGCCCGACAAGGGGGCGCAGCCGAAGACTTCGGGCCAATTTCGGCGCCCCTCACACGGTTCGTGGCCGCTTACAGGGCGCAACCGAAGGCTTTCGCGGCCCCACAAGGGGCGCAGCCGAAAGTCTCGAGTTCATTTCGGTGCACCCCTCACACGGTTCGTGGCCCCACAGGGGGCGCAACCGAAGGTTTCGGGTCCATTTCGGCGCACCCCTCACACGGTTTGTGGCCCCACACGGGGCGCAACCGAAGGCTTTCGCGGCCCCACAGGGGGTGCAACCGAAGGCCTCGGGTCCATTTCGGCGCACCCCTCACACGGTTCGTGGCCCCACAGGGGGCGCAACCGAAGGCTTCGGGCCCATTCCGGCGCACCCCTCACACGGTTCGTGGCCTTACAGGGGGCGCAAGCGAAGGCTTTCGCGGTCCATTTCGGCGCACCCCTCACACGGTTCGTGGCCCCACACGGTGCGCAACCGAAGGCTTTCGCGGCCCCACAGGGGGCGCAACCGAAGGCTTCGGGCCCAGTTCGGCGCACCCCTCACACGGTTCGTGTCCCCACAGGGGGCGCAACCGAAGGCTTCGGGTCCATGTTGGCGCACCCCTCACACGGTTCGTGGCCCCACAGGGGGGCGCAACCGAAGGCTTTCGCGGCCCCAGGGGGGCGCAACCGAAAGTCTCGGGTCCATTTCGGCGTACCCCTCAAACGATTCGTTGCCCCACAGGGGGCGAAACCGAAGGCTTCGGGCTCATTTCGGCGCACCCCTCACGCGGTTCGTGGCCTCACACGGGGCGCAACCGAAGGCTTTCGCTGCCCCACAGGGGGCGCAGCCGAAGGCCTCGCGTCCATTGCGGCGCACCCCTCACACGGTTCGTGGCCCCACACGGGGCGCCACCGAAGGCTTTCGTTGCCCCACAGGGGGGGCAACCGAAGGCCTCGGGCCCATTTCGGCGCACCCCTCACACGGTTCGTGGCCTTACACGGAGCGCAACCGAAGGTCTCGGGTCCATTTCGGCGCACCCCTCACACGGTTCGTGGCCCCACAAGGGGCGCAGCCGAAGCTTTTCGCAGCCCCACAGGGGGCGCAGCCGAAAGCTTCGGGCCAATTTCGGCGCACCCCTCACACGGTTCGTGGCCCCACAGGGGGCGCAGCCGAAGGTTTTCGCGGCCCCACAGTGGGCGCAACCGAAGGCTTCGGGTCCATTTCGGCGCACCCCTCACACGGTTCGTGGCCACACAGGGGGCGCAACCAGATGCTTCGGGCCTATTTCGGGGGCAGTCTGTATCGGATCTGTATAGGATCCGATACAGTCCGTATCGGATCTGTATATGATCCTATACAGTCCGTATGGGATCTGTAGGGGGTCCTATACAGTCCGTATCGGATCTGGAAAGGGTCTTATGCAGTCCGTATTGGATCTGTGTAGGATCCTATGCAGTCCGTATCGGATCTGTGTAGGATCCTATTCAGTCCGTATCAGATCTGTGTAGGATCCTATTCAGTCCGTATCAGATCTGTGAAGGATCGTATACAGTCCGTATCGGGTCTGTATAGGATCCGATACAGTCCGTATCGGATTTGTATAGGATCCAGTCCGTATCGGATCTGTATAGGATCGTATACAGTCCGTATCGGATCTGTATAGGATCGTATACAGTCCGTATCGGATCTGTATAGGATCGTATACAGTCCGTATCGGATCTGTATAGGATCGTATACAGTCCGTATCGGATCTGTATAGGATCGTATACAGTCCGTATCGGATCTGTATAGGATCGTATACAGTCCGTATCGGATCTGTATAGGATCGTATACAGTCCGTATCGGATCTGTATAGGATCGTATACAGTCCGTATCGGATCTGAATAGGATCCTATACAGTCCGTATCGGATCTGAATGGGATCCTATACAGTCCGTGTCGGATCTGTATAGGATCCGATACACGGACAGGACATTCTCACGGATCTGTACAGGTTCCTAAGGATCCTTAGGACATTCTCACGGATTCCTAGGACATTCCTAAGGATTCCTAAGAATTCCGAAGGATTCCCAGGTATTCCTAAAGATTCCTAGGAATTCCTTGCTTCGCCGGTGCACACATGCTTTTTGCCAGCAGGGATTCGTTGGTGCCAGAGAGGAGGTCCGCAGATGTTCACACAAATCGAATTCAATGGCGTTGTTGTGGGTGTTGTGGGGGGGGGGGGGGGGTCGTTGTTGTGGTTGTTGCCGGGGGGGGGGGTCCCCGACGGGTCGGGGCTCTGGCCGCCCTTGCCCCTAAGGCCAGGGCGGCCAGCGCCGACCCGTGACGGGTCGGCGCTGGCCCGCCCTTGCCCCTTTGTGTTTGTTGTTGGTGTTGTTGTTGTTGTTGTTGTTGTTGTTGTCGGCGTCCCCCCCGCGACCCGCCCGCGACCCACCCGTGACCCACCCCGCGACCCACCCCGCGACTCACCCCGCGACCCAGCCCGCGACCCATGCGCGATCCACCCCGTGACCAACCCCGTGACCCACCCTGTGACCCACCCCGTGACCCACCCGCGACCCACCCGCGACCCCACCCGCGACCTACCCCACGACCCACCGCGACCCACCCCGCGACACACCCGCGACCCACTCGCGACACACCCGCGACCAATCGCGATCCACCCCGCGACCCACCCCGCGACCCACCCCGTGACCCACGCCGCGACCCATACGCGACCCACCCGCGACCCCGCCCGCGACCCACCCGCGACCCATCCCGCGATCCACCCACATTGTTTTTACGAAAAAATCGGCGCCTGCGCCTTGGCTCACGGCATAATTTGTAAAAGTTAGGCGCCTGCGGCGGGCTTCTTCAGAGCCTCGCAGACAGACGACGTCCTCGCCGCACTCTGAATCTTATCCGCAACTTCCACCCACATTGTTTTTACGAAAAAATCGGCGCCTGCGCCTTGGCTCACGGCATAATTTGTAAAAGTTAGGCGCCTGCGGCGGGCTTCTTCAGAGCCTCGCAGACAGACGACGTCCTCGCCGCACTCTGAATCTTATCCGCAACTTCGGGGTGCTACGTAAATGGTGGGGTCAGGGGAATTCATCCACTTGGTTCAATCTAAGCGGTGCGCTCTATGCGACGAAATGAACAGCAATGTGCAAGCGATGTGAAGGCTACGCGCCGCGGCGCAATCCAAGGCCGCGCACGATGCGCCCACGAGGCGCCACGAATGGCCCCGTGCGAACACCGTGAAGGCCTGGCCAGCGCACGAGGCGCCAGCGGGTGGACGGGGCGAGCATCCGGAGGAGCCGGCCAACTTGTGAGGCACCCACGGGTGGGCACCCGAGGTGATCATCGGTAACGTCAGCCCGTGCATTTTGCGGGAATGGGGCAGGAGCCCCTTGGAGCTGCCTTGGGGAAGTTGCTCCCTCTCTTTCGCAGACCTTTCCATCCTCCAACACCCCCGTGTATCTACACGCAGATCATGATATTGCGCACAACTCCGGGGGAGTAGAGTTCCGACGCGATTACTGTTGCGCGCATGCGCCAACATGTCAGGCCGTTTCGCATTGGAGGTCCTTAAATGTCCGGCCGCCCGATACCCACCTCGTGCTGATTACGACAAGACGGCTACATGCCTCTTAGTTAGCACATGCTGTTACTAGGACGTGTTCAAACTAGCGAACATTGTGTCTCCTGAATTTCCGAACTGCGGATCTTTCCACCCTCCCGTTGCTCCCTCCTGACCCCTATCACTTCTGACCGCCCTCCCTCCTGTCCACCTCCTTCCCATCCGTTCCTGCCCCCCCCCTCAATGCGTACATATATTTTCGCAACACGCACCTGCTCTCCGACTCGCGACGTCGTCAATGTCTGCGGTGTGGTCGCCTGTGCTCGAGAAGGCTGGGGCGTGGAGTCGTGGGGGAAGAGCAAAGAGGATGAAACATAGGGAGGTGGAGGAGGAGAAGGGAATGTTGGGGAGTAGTGAGGTAAGAACGCGAGGCGGAGGATTAGGAGAGTGGGACTCATTAGGAGAAGGAGGAGGAAAAGGAGGAGGATGAGGAGGAGTGGGTACCCTGGCAGCACACTATGACAAGGATGACGAATCGACGCATCAAAGACGGACTACAAACACGGGCCTGCACGACAGACAGAGAGTCAGACATGCAAACACATAGAGGACTTTAAGATCAAGCGGCTAGCAGCAAGAGATTGACATGCCTACCCATATATGACGGACACAGGTCGGCAGGCACCGAATTGACAGGCACCTTGTCGATTCAATGCCTTGCGGGCATGTCGTTGTCATGCACGAGTTCATAGATGACCTCGAAGTGCATACGCGGGCCAGAGAGCAATGATTGCTGGAGGAGGCGAACGAAAGGAAACGGCGCGTTGGGTTGATCATGGTTGGCCGCGTCAAGGCAGCAAAGACGGGACGCAATCTACTTGAACGTGCCACACGAGTAAGAGAGAGAAAGAGGGAGGGAGAGAGAGAGAGAGAGTGAGAGAGAGAGAGAGTGGGAAACACGCGCACAAACACACGCAGACACGCTCATACACACGCACGACGCGCGCACGACACGCATTCACGCGGTTTGCGCGCACGTAGAGAGAGGCAGAGGGAGAGAGATAGAGCGAGAGAGAGAGAGAGAGCGAGAGAGAACAGCAGACACAGAAACATATATTCAGGAATTGACAGCACACCGACACGGGCTTTGGCAGTGTTTGCCTGACTGCCGCGTGTCAATTGGTTTGTCCCCGTTCTTCTTCACATGTTGGTCTCGTGACGATGATGGAACGTAAGACGATTTTGGCCAGTAGCTGTCTTGTCATCGGCCCGAGACCTCATGGATGCTGCAGGCAGTCTGCTTGGATTGTTGGTGTGGAGTTGCGCCGTGGTCTGCGTGCACGGCAGCAATTGGACCTGCACTCCACCACCTGGGTCTTCATGTTTTAGCAGCAATATCAGCTTTCTCGCCAATCCTGGGCCTCGGCAGTTGCTCGACAAAAGCGACGCTGCGCGCACGATTGCGTTCACCATCGTGCAGGGCAAGAAGGCATGCCAAGGTGCCTTTCCTTTCTCCTTCAAACGAATCAATAGTGTTGGTCTAGTAATTACCGCCCATACCCGCCTAGAATTTGCCGCGGCATGTCGAACATTTGGCCACCATGAGTGTCATGTTGTTTGGTTATGCTTCGAAGAGTTGCTGGAATTTGTATCATCTGTTCGTTGCGCGTGTGTCTTCTTTCCTGGGACCCGCCCGCGAGGGAGATAGAAACGTCCTCATCTGCCTATCTGCTTGAAAGGCCTCTCGGACGCGCTGTCTCAACAGACTCGGTTTCGGAACGCTTCTCGAGCGAGGCGGGGATGCATCCGTGATCACCGCCAGGGGGATCGATCGTCGCGGACCTCGTATCCCGCCTCGCACCTCGTGCCCTTCGCGTCCGGTCGCTGCTCTGGCGCGTGCATAAAGATCACGGCGATCGCAAGAATTCCCCGGCTTCCTCTGGTACTTCGCCAACAGCACCGCGGAGACGCCGCTGGGCGGCCTGGACGTGTACGCCCTCGACGACGAGGGGTTGCGCTGCGTCCAGAACCTGACGGAGGCGCACCCGGGCTACGTCCGGCGCGTCGTGAGCCTGGTCTCGCCCGAGAGTCAGGTCGAGGGGCACAGCATCAGAGCAAACGGAGCACTCCATCGACACAGACGAGGAGGGGGAGGATGCTGGATGAGGAGGAGGAGAGTTCGGGGGCGGCAAAGAGGGGGGTGATGACTAGGAGAGGGGTGAATATCATGGCGTGTGCCATGATATTTCCCCAGATTCCATGGCGCCTCTTCCTATTTCATTACGTCCCTGGCCCCACAGCTGGCCCGCGCACATGCCGACGGTCATGATTTGCACCCTCCCCTCTTGGACACCCCCCTCTTGGCCGCTCCCGAAGGGTAATTAGGATAACGGAGGAGGAGCGCCAACTATGGAGGCGACCCGCGCGGGCGTCGGGGTTTGTCGGCGCCATCTCTCGATCAAGCAGCAGGCCAATGTTTGAGAATACGTGCGTGGCTGCGTGGGCCCCATTCATTGTGTGGTGCAAGCTGCGCTTCGGTGTAAGGTCGACAGTGTAAGCTACGCTGTGCAAGCTATGTGGTGCCAACTATGTGGTGCAAGCTACGTGGTGCAAGCAGAGTAGTGTAAGCTAGGACGTGTAGGTGTAATCTGCGTAGTGTGTGCAATGTGGTTCCAGCGATGCGGTGCACTATGTTGAATAAGCACTGTTGTTCAAGCTGTGTTGTGTAAGCCACCTCGTGTAAGCTGCGCGGTGGAAGCTATGTGATGCAAGGTATGTGGTCAATGCGCGGTGCATGCTATGTGCCGTCCCAGCGTACGAGGTGTTTACAAGGCGCCCACGGGTGGGGACGAGGCGAATGTTGGGTTGACCCATTCAGGGCACGCGGCGCTTACGAGGCGCCCACCAGCAGGCACCAGGCGAACCTCGCCCGACCGGCTTAACGCAGATGTCTCCCACGAAGGCACTCACGGGAGGGCACCAGGCGAAACCTCAGCTGCCCCACCCAGCGCGCGCGTCGCCTGCGATGCGCTCACGGGCAGGCACCAGGCGACACCCCGGCTGACCCATCCGATCCCCTACGGTGCCGTTTTTTAATACATGCTCCGCGAGCGGATCATGTATTAAACATGCAGGGTTTAGTGTGAACAAGCAACGATGAGTTCATGCATAAGTTCATTCATAAATTGATCATGTATAACAAATCCTATCTTTTGAAACATGTATTAAAAACTGCCCTGTAGGCAGCCGGGGTAAGAACCCCTCCGCAGTGCAGACGCTCTCGGGGGAACCTCGGCGTGCGCATAAAAATGTTCGGGGGTGTCCGTGCGGGTATATATATATATATATATATATATATATATATAGCGGATCGGCGGTGGGCCCCCCCCTGGCGGCGCCTCGGGCGCCGGTCCTGGCGCGCCCCGGGAGTCGGGGAGGGATGTCTGGTGCCGGCTCAAGGAGATCCGCTAGGTCAAGCAGTGGCGAAGCGTCCTGGCGTGCCTTTAGCCCTACCAAACAAGGTTCTAAGAACTTCTTGTGGTTCCCACGGAATGTTCTCAGAACATTTCTTGCGGAGTCTGTCTTGTTTTATGGCATCGGGTTTATGTTCTAAGAACATTGTTTCTGTTCTTAGAACATTGTTAGGTTCTACGAACATTTCGTGGCAGGACTATAGGAATGCCCGAACGGTCGGTTCCTGCTCAAAAGAAAATCCGCTAGGGTGTCCGACAGGTTGTGTTTGTGCATTGGCTTGTCTTGCCCTGGGCCAAGCAGACGGCCCGCAGAAGGGGGCAGGTTCCCTCAGCCAGGGTTCCGCCCCGAGGATTCTGATGTTCCGGCCTTGTTTAGCCCTGATAACCAGGAAGAGTTTCGAGCACCGAGAAAATACCGAAATTGAAGGGTTTCCACGTGTCTGGCCTTAGAAGGCGGTACTCCTTCGACACATCGCTAGCGCGTTGGGCATATACTGTTTCGATACTTTTCTGGGCGCCCACAATTATTTTTGGGATGTGGCCCTTGAACACGATGGGAGCAATATAACCCGAGGAAGGGGGAAAAGACAAGTCCAGATGGCCTGCAGAAGTCGTCATACAGCATCTGCGCCTCCAGGGTGCCCTAAACTAGGGGGAAGGGCCATGGGGGCAACGTTCTAAGAAGGCCCCTTGCCTCTCCGAATGCATAGAGGGCCAGGTACGATTCTTCATGCGCCGGTGCCTGATGAGGCGCCTCCTGCCCTTCCTTAACTGGGAGTGGGGCGCATTTCTTGGATCGGCGTTGGGCCCCAAGGGCCCTCGCCTCTCAGAATGCAGCGAGGGCACTGCATGATTCTTCATGTGCTGATCCCTTATGGGATGCCTCCTGTCCTTCTTCGAACACTGGACGCGGGGATCAAGCCGTCCGCCAGGTTATCGCAGGGGATTCCATAGAGTTCAACATGCTTGCCAGAGCGGCGCCAACCCCGAATTGTAGGTACGTAGTTCGGCCCGGCCAGGTGCCGTTGTGCAGTATTCGTGTGCAATCTGTACAGGATGCAACCACACCGACGATGACGAGGATGACCATGTTGGTGATGACGTTGACCTTCGTGATGGCGATGTTAAAGATAGGGACGCGGATGATGAAGATGACGACGGCGGTGGCAATAATGACGTTGGCGGTAATGATGAGGATGGCAAGGCAGTGCGCCTTCGCAGCACTTCAAAGCCTTGCATACATAAGTTTTATTGGAAAGCCATCGGGATGCCATATACGTTGAACCCCACTGCGTGTTGAATCGCAAAGAAGGCTACTTGTTTTTGAAGGTTATCGAAGTGCGCGCGCAGAGACGCGCGTCTGTGGCCCGCCTTGTCTTATTGTCCCCAAAAGGGGTTTGAGTGATTTGAACATGCGCGCGTGGCGGCCCTTGCATGCGCCCCGATGTTTGTGGGTGGCGCTGTTGTTTGAATGCGTTCTTAGGAGAAACGCTTGGTAGGCCAACGCACGTGCACCGTATCGTGTCATTTGAAAAGGATGCAGAGGGGTTAAGGATTGGCTGGTTGGTTTTTATTTGCCATTCGGGATGAGTGGTTGTGCATTGCCAATATCGGAAATGCAGTGCTCACAGGGAAACGGATCGCATCGACAGGGTTTGGACGATAGTTTCCGGGACGGGAGTGTTCGGGGGGACAGCAGTGCAGCGCAATCCATACATGTTTGTAGTTATAAGTTTAATTATATATATGTTTATATTGATATATATATATATATATATATATATATATATATATATTTGACGCAATCTACGTGTTGCGATCCAAGTGTGAGGTCATATGAGCGACCAAGAAAACTGGGTCGTCTGCGCCGACATTGGCCCGTACGTTGCCCGCATAAGTTTGCGCGTAAGCGCCCTCGCCTCCAATGTAGCGTGTGCCGCGCTGGCGGCCCGCGTAAGCACCCGCGTAAGGTCGCTATGCCATCTCGCGTAAGACCTGTGCTTGATCGCCGTTCATATGTTCACGCCATTCTTTCTTTCTCGTCGCTTCTCTTTCCGTTCGTGCCCCCCGAATGTTGGGATTTTGCGCACTCTGTTACGCGCCCGCGTGGTTGTGGTTTTAAGTGTTCGGGGTTCGGTCCACCCCCGATTCTTGTGTGTTTCACCCCCAGTCATTTCTTGATCAACGGGGCAACATTGAGCTCGCTTTGGGAGAACCAGTCCGCCAGATAGAGCGGGGCACGAATGTTGGGTGTCTTGTGCTGTTTAGCACGACTTGGCACCGAGGGGATGGTCAGCAGCTAGTCTCTGATCTTTTGCATTCTCGTTTGCGCTGTCAGGGTGATGCGCTGCTGCTTTCCGTCCAAGCCCTGGCTGTTCTCTAAGATGTCGGAACTCTCGAGGTCAGAGCCAAGTTCAGACCTGCACGAGCCAGCGGCGACAGTGCCGCCAGCGCCAGTGGCGCGCGGCCCCGGCGGCTCTGGCCCTCCAACGTGTACCAGTACATTATATGGGTCATCTTCGAGGAGCTTATGGCCCAGGGGATGCACGTCATACATTTCGACACCGACGTCATTATTCTTAGGGACTTGTGGACGAACCTCGTGTCGCCGGTGCGCTCGGGGTACGACATCATCACGACATGCGACAAATTCGGTCCTGGGTCTGATAGGGGCTGTTCGTTTAATCCAGCCGTCATGTTCATGAGACACGGTGAAGCAGTTCAATCGATGCTCTCGTGGATTATGCAGCTTTGGGACACTAGTTGGCTGGATCCCCAAACTCACCAGATGCCCATGAAGATTGTGAGAAGGTCTATAGGTTCAACTCACGATCTCTCCGATATGTTTGTCATGAATCGATATCGCAAGCTTTGCTTGATATCCGCCAACCTGGCGGTCACTCAAGGGAATGAACAATTCTTGAAGATTACGTCTTTCCGTCGATGATGATGTATCGCAGTCTGTATTAGTCGGCTCATCGTGTTGAACGGTGTACAAGCGTATACACGAACGATCTCCGCAAGTGCTTGCCGTGGAGAGAGCGTGGAGGCCCCCTCCTGGAGCACAAGCGACCGATGGGGCTCGAGAGGTGGATGAGAACGAGGACGAGAAACCAAGACGCAGCCAAGAAGGAGGGTGAACAGGACGAGAGTGGAGGATTGAGTGCGATGGGCATAATGAGGGATGGGTTGGGGACCAGCGTGAAGGGGACACATTGGGGGGAACGGCAAGGAGGTTTGTATCGAGGAACAGGATACGGCCTGATAATGAGGAGGATGGGAACTGAGGGGAAGGCTGTAGGAGGCATAGCAGAAGGGGGAGCAGGAGGAAGGCAGATGACGAGATGAAGAAGAGGAAGCTGGAAGAAGGTGAGGCGGAAGATGAGGATGAGGATGTTGAGAACGACTTGTTCCTCCACGGCTTGGCCACAGTATCTTTCTTCCAGTGCATGCACGGGGGGAGCCCCTGATCACGGCCAAGTCCTTGCGATTATGCGCCAGTTGCTCGTCCACTCCTCTGCAGCATGCCCTGAGACATGATGATGCTGATCACCGCCGTGTCCGCCACCACTCCAGTCGACATGCAGCATGCTTCTGAGTCAGGAGTGGCCTACCTGGCCATGCTTGACGTCTTCCCCTACCTTCCTGGCGATTTCTATGGAGGTGCTGTGCCCGATGCTGCCGTTGTGCCCGTATTCGGAGCACAGAGGACCAGCGTCTCGTCGGGGGCAAGCTGCCCCTCCATCCTTGCCCTCGTGGGGGGAGATATGCGTTGTGCCCGAGGCTCTGCTGCAGTGTCTCCTTGCCCTCGTGCATGAGCGCGTCAAGGTTGGGAACGCCCTCGGGGACGTGTTCCGATTCCAAGTCCTCCCGACGGGCTGGTCTGGGCGTCCAGCAGCTGCTTTGGTTGCCAGCAACGCCGAGCTGCCCCACGACTCCTGCGCCGAGTCTGGCACCGTGCTGGAGAACGTGCTGCAGGTCCTGTCGGACGTGCTGGTCTGGTAGTCCAGCTGCTCCTGCTGCCAGTAGAGTCGAGTTTCCCCATTCGGCGGCGAGCGAGGGGGGAAGTGAGAAGGAGAAGGCCTTCTCAGAAGTCGGCGGACTTGTCAGAAACCCTCGCGTTTTCTGAGAAGTGTTGTGCGGGTTCAGGGAAGGCTTTACAAACTTCTCCAAAGGCCAGGGGACTACCGAGCCTTCTGAGAAGGCCCGCCCCTTCTCACTTCCCCCCTCGCTCACCGCCGAACTCTTCTCGGTCCGTTGGCGTAGTGCCGCCTTCTGCTAGGCGGCGGCGGCTCGGTCCATACAGGATCTTCCGGCCTTTTCTATGTCGGCCAACCCGCCGCGGTGGTTCATTACTATGAAATCGGGACGATCGTAATGGGTACGGAAGGATGGGTCCATATACCGACAGCAGTTCTTGCTCATATTGAACAGGACTCGCTGTCGGCGTTGCCGCGGATGCCGGCTACGGTAGGTTCGAGTCGTGTCGACCTGCGGCGACCCCGCTGCTGGCGTTCCATGTTGAGTGCCGCGGGCGACCCAGAATCGGCGGAAGTTGAATCGGCCGCAGTTGTCGCCGCAGCCTGTGTCAAATTGATACAGAAGGCCACCTGCCCAACAGCGGCCGCTGTTGGTTTGGGACAATAGTGTTGTCGGGCATTGTCAATGTTTATCCGTACCTATCTCGGGCGTCCAAGCAGAACCCCCAACGGTGTCGACGACGGCACGAGTGATTAGCTCCTGCGAGCCTTTCTGCACCAGCAAGGCTGTGGTTCTGCAGCAGGTCCATCACGGCACCTCCAATTGCAGCGACTCCGCATCTGCGGATGTAGCGCCATGCTTAGGTCGCGGGCCACTCCTGGCCGGATGCAGACAGTGTCGATCGAACCGAGGTGCGCTGCAGTGGCCCTTCGTTGAGCTCCTTGCCGCTCGCCACGGTGGCCGGCCTGGTGACAGCCAGAGGGCACAGCTCCCGGAAGCCTTGCGCGCTTGGGGCCACCGTCCCGACGACGTCCGCGAGAGGGCCCTCCTGGACCCTCCCGCCTGCCGCGTCAGGTGCTCAAAAGGTGCTGCCCGAGGGCCACGCGGAGGCACTCCGCTCCAGGTGCGCTTGGCATGCGGCATGCCGACCCAGACATGATCGCGCCGAACAACACAAATCAGGGCGGGAGAGGTTTTTGGCCGTGTTCGGCCTTGGAAAGCACGCGCCGGGCCTCAGGACTGGACCGTCAAGAGGCGAGTCAGGATGAAGAACCGGTCACTGGGAAGAGGGTCGGGACTTCCAGGGACCCCGTATCTTGGCATCGCTCGGACGTGTGCATTTTTTCTTCGGCGAGGACCATCGAGGAGCATCCTTGATCATTTGGCGAAAAAACCACGCACGAAACCAAAAAAAACACAGGGAATGGACGTCCGAGCGATGGCCAGGTATTGCACACGTCAGGACGTCGCATGTCCGTGTAAGGAGCGGGCGGGTGGGGCCCGGTCGCGTGCCCGCAGCCTGCCACCTTTCTGTTGGCCTCAAGTCGGGCGTGTCCCTCGACAGGAGGAATATTCAAGAAGAATAACATACAGTCGGGGCCCTGAAGAAGGAACCCTTTTCGTTGGGAAGGGGCTCCGCGTTCCTTAAGTGTTTCGCAGCTTGCCTCAGGTGTTCCTTATGTTTTCGACGGAAAATCGAAGTTTAACTTATGGAAAAAAGGGGCCTCGTTCCTTATTTTGGGTTCCTTAGGTCAAGGCCCCGACTGTAGTCTGGAGACTGTTTGTCGTGCTCTTCTGACTGTTGTTGGCAACTGTCTTCCAACATCCGCCTGCAGGAGGACATGCCCGACGTAAGGCCAGCTCGAGCGTGCTCTGGGACAGGCCGTGGGCCATGGTGTTCGCTACAGTCGAGGAGCACTACGGTCGGACCGAGGTATAAGGTCGAGGTTGGTTCGGGGAGGTACCATGATTGTCTCCGTGTTTGTTGGGTGTTCTTGTGCATCCTGGGGTAGGGCACCCGCGAATGTTCTTCAGTGCAGGCTGGCGGAGGGTCTCATGTCCTAGTTCCGAACGTCGCAGGTCGACCCTGCCAAATCAAGGGTACTCTTGGGTCCTGAGTTTCGCGCCCCATGCCTTCTGCATTCCTGTGGCGATGTGGCCCCCAGAAGGGTCTTTTGTCCTCACGCGTGTCCTCTCCAATCGAGCCCGACTGCACTTACCAACCCCCCCCAACCCAACCCGAAGGTCCCATACCCCCCAAACGCCGGGTTCCAGGGTGTACGGGTTCCGCTGAGCTTCCTCAGTGTTCCGGAATCGTCCCCCCTCCTGAATTTGACAGGCCCAACGGCGGTTTCGGGTTGGGTTGGGGTGATTTGGTGGGTAGTCAAATGGCTTTGGGCGCTGCACCGCCGTGCCCAGGGGACGCACCAGGTAGTTCAGTTAGATGCATTTCTTGACCAGACCGTCGACTCCATACTGTCGTAGAAACTGCGGCGTCATAATTGACAAACTGAAGCGCTGAAACCGACTGCCACAGCGGCTTCAGTTTTCATAGGACGTCTCGGGGCGAACCGTACGTTCACCCCTTTAGCTGACGAGTCTTCCACTGTTGTGCCCTGGCTTTCTGCACCAGCCTGTTGTGATGTGCCGTATCGTCGCGCTCCAGACCCGTTGCGGCAGTGGCACGAGGCTGACGAGGCGCTCGCCGCCGGCCTGGCACCTGACCCTGGAACCCCTCGAGGATTAAGTCGCGCCTGATGGCGACTCGAAGGCGAGGGTCAATTCCAAGAGCAGCTCGAGGCCTAGGAGAGTGGCGAAACTGTGGAGCAAAAGGAGGGAAGTGGAGGAGAAATGAGTGGAGGAAAAATCTCATGATCATTATGAGGGTCAGTAGGCAGGGGAGTTCAAGGAAGAGCTGGAGCATGACAAGGTGACTGGTGAGGATGGAGGTTAAAAAGGAGGAGGACGAGGAGGAAGAGGAGAAGGAAGGAGAGGATGAGTGGGTTGTCCCTGGCCAGGGGGATAAGGACGAGGATGGAGAGTAAGACAAGATGGATGGAGGAAACGAATTCATCATGGAGGAACCTTCCATGTGGGAGGATCGAGGAGAAGGAGAACGACGACGAGCCAGGGGTAGGGAGGATGGAGAGGAATGAGATGCATGACATGATGATGCTAGAGGGGGGATGCGGAGGCGTGAGAGATGCAAGAAGCCGAGGGAGGGAGGGCGGGAGGGAGGGGGGAGGCCGGAAGATGGGGAGACGGTAGAAATGAGGAGGAGGCTGTGAGAGGCGGGTAGGGGACGTGATGTGGAAGCGTGGGCGTGGATGGGAGGGATGGAATGACAAAGGAGTGGTTTGCCAGAGACCGGTGCCGTGTTGAGCTCAAGGAATGCATGAAGACCAACAGGAAGGATTGCAAGGGCTGTCGATCAGTCAGGCAGAAACGAAAGAGCATTGAAGAACATGGTGGCCAGTGCTCACCCACAACAGCGCAGTATTGCAATCCGGAAGTGTTGTATGCGCTGCAGCAGATGTTGCGTAGCCCGTGTGGTTCAAGCTACGTGGTGCAATATAATTTGTGCAGCGCGTATGGTACAGGTACATAATGTTGTAGCATCTACGTGCTTCATGTGGTGCAATATATGTTGTAGAGGCTATGTGATGTGCTGTACGTCGTGCAAGCGATTTCGCGCAAACGATGTGATGCGCGTGATTCAACTTATGAAGTGCCAAATTTGTAAGTACAGATGCATGTGCGTGCGCAAGGTCCACCGGGGAGGTCCATTCGGGAGGTGGCAAGAGAAGTTCAGATTCCGCCTACGGACCCGCAGACAACTTCCCCGAGCGGGCCATCGACGGCGCTGACCGGTCAGCGGGGCCGCTGGCCCCGAGGCGAGCCCTCAACCAACGTTGGCATTGGACGGACCCGAGCGGGGGACCAGTCCATGCGACAATAACGAAACAACATATTTCATATTCTGTTTGTGGTTGATTACTAACTGTGCAGCATGTCGGTTTGCAGTGTCCAAAAACTTCGTTGGAAGTAGTAGAAAAGAAGAACGTTCATGGGGCGATGGTGTGAACTTCCAGCGACGATTTGGACAGGTCTCGGCAATCACCAGAGTCTTCGCCATTCGAGAATTTGGTAGATGTTGTCTGTGTTCAGTGGATGGCCATCTTCCAGATGGCTAGCTACAAAGTAGTTAGCGAATACTTGTGTCCCGACGTTACATGGGACGGTCAAATTCTTCAAGTGCCGACAACATAGGTTCTGTCATTGTTGCGACTGTGTCGTTGCGTACCTGACGCCCAGGACACCCATCGGGTGTTTGCGTTTATTTCTCGCATTGCTATAGGAAGCCTTTGGACAGCAAGGCACCACCAGAAGAGAAGCAGCGGCAAAAGAGCCTCCTCAACGGCGAGAACGGCTGGGCCTGCAACGGCACGTACCTGGTCACGTGGCGAGCTGGGTACCTGCGGCACGGGCAGCCGAACGACTGCGGCGACGCCACCCACGGGTACGCCGACAAGTGCCGGCAAGACGGCATCTTCATGTATCATCGCAGGCCTAGAGGTTGACACCAACACCAAGATCGTCGGTGTGCCTCCACCGAGGGAAGAAGATTCCAATTTCGGTGATGGTGGCAATATTCTGGCTTCCAAGGTGGCCGAAATATTACCACCAACACCGAAAATCTAGGATCACATTCCCCATGTGGAGGCAACTCCCTGTCTTGGTGTTGGTGCCGATTTCCAGGCCTCCGATATCACCACCACGCCGCAGGCCTCTACGGCCTGGCCGCGGAGGGCCTCAGCCGGCCATGGCCGCGCCTCGCCCCGCCGCTGCCCAGCGCAGCGCCACGCACCGAGGCCTCCTCGGCCGCCTCGCAGCCTGCAGCACCGGCCCCCGCAGCTGCGGCGGCCGCCGCGGCCCCCGCGGCCCCCGCAGAGGCACCCTCGGCCACTGGCTCGGCCCCTGGTGCGCCCCCGACAACGGCCTCGGGGCCGGCGGCCTCGGCCGCCGCCCAGCGGGAGCCGGCACCCGCAGCCGCGGCGGCGCTCGCCATGTCGTCCCGGGTGGCATCTGGGACCGCAGCCTGGTCGAAATCCCGCCCGCTCTGCTTCGCCCTCTGAAGTAGGCGAACCGGCACACAGAAGCAGAAGCTTTCGGATCTCCGCGCGGATTTCTTGGATCAGCGCTGGGCCCCCATGGCGTCGCCTCGGGCGCCGCCCCTGGCACGATCTGCGCGCGAAAGACGGTGGGCTCAGCGCCGCTGCAAGAAATCCGCGCGGACCTCCGACAGTCTGTATCGGGTATGGCCAGGACCCCGGGTAAGGGGACCCGGTTAGTGGTAGGGCCCTGGGGCCCCTCAATTGGCCAGATTCACTAGACCAGGTTTGCCGTAACTGGTGCTTTATCGGGTGACGGCAGTTCCGGTTAGTGGAAGTGGGACGGGGGGGCGCCCCCGGTACAGATCATTGAACCAGGTTCCACTAAACCCAGTTCTACCAACGCCCGACTATAGTTGTGTCATTCTTCGTTTCCCGAAATCCCCGCCCGACATGTTTCGATCTGGCCTTCGGAGGCGTGCCGTCGTCGCCACGGCCAGGCAGGGACCCCCTGGCACACTGGCCAGAGGCAGGGGGACCAGGAGGAGAAGGACGTCAATCGCCAGGGTTCTAGCGCTGGCGAAGCGTCCTGCCTTGCATAATAGGCCCACCACAGAAAGTTCTAAAAACCTTTTGTGGCTTGCACGACATGTTCTTAGAACATGTTCTGGCCGAGGCAGTACTGTCTGAATACATCGGGCACATGTTCTAAGAACGTGTCGCGGCATAGGCCTCCTTAGGAATGCCGGGACGGGTTTCGATCTTCGACCTCGAGGTCTTCGGTAGCCTCGATGCCAGGGATCCCTAGTCCCCCCAGGACCAGCACAGGGGCCTTGGGCATGGCGGTCCCTATAGCGAGCGACCCCATGGCGATCTTCTCGGCGGGCCTCGTCACCGGGGCCGCCCTCGTTTCCTTGGCGTTCTGCCTGGCCGCCATGGCCAGGACAGCCTCCTTCTCCTCTCTCCTCCTCCCCCCTCCCCTATGATCATCACCTGCTTCCCCGCCTCCTCCCCCTCCTCGCCTCATCCTGCTCGCCCCCTTCCTCCATCTTCCCTCCTCCGTTCTTTCTCCCCCCCTCCTCCCCTCCTCGCCTCCTCCCTCCTCCCCTCCTCTCTTCCTTGCTACTCCTATTCCTATCTCCGCGCGCGTTCTCGCGCGCGGTGGGAGGAGGAGGAGGAGGAGGAGGAGGAGGAGGAGGAGGAGGAGGAGGAGGAGGAGGGTGAGAATGATGAGCACCGCGGAAGCGTAATTAGCCTGCCCCCATGCTCGTGTCGACTTCATGGGTCAGGGTTCACGGTTGGCGGGGACGGGCTCAGGGTGGATGCATCGCCCTCCAATCGCCAATTCACGCTTCATCGCCGACAGGGGCCTGATAGCCGCTGCCGTTGCCCACTCCGCCCAGGACCGTGCATCTCCGCGATTGGGGGCCTCCGCTGATCTGTCGGCGACGTACTGCCGATGCCAGCTCGGCGTTGAGCCAGTTCCTCCCCCATCGTTCCCCTCCCAGGGGGGTTGGTGCTGCGTCCTGCGCCGCTTGCGCCCGCCCCCTCCCTCCTCCTCCTCCTCCTCCTCCTCCTCCTCCTCCTCCTCCTCCTCCTCCTTCCCCTCCTCCTTCCCCTCCTCCTCCTCTTCCTCCTTCCCCCTCTCCTCCTCCTCCTCCTCCTCTTCCTCTTCCTCCTCCTCCTCCTTCTTCCCGCCCCCTTCCCCCCGCTTTGCAGCCGAAGCCCGCAGAAGGCCCGCCGCTGCCCCGCACGTCTGTGACCTGACGTCCAGAGGGGGAAACGGTACCCATAACGCTACCTTTTGCAGATTTCGTAATACAGGGAGGGGTCTCATTTCGGGGGGGGTCTCTTCCAGGCTATCTTGGAGGGCCTGGGGGGTCTGGGGACGATGTTTTGGAGGGATCTCCCACGGGGGTGGTCTGAAATGGCTTGTCTTGGAAGGTCCAGACCCCCTCCCTTTTATTACGAAATCTGGAGTACCCATAACGCTACCTTTTGCAAGTTTCCCCGTCTTGGGTTTCCTCCGAGGCCCTCGTCGCCACGGCTGGGTTCGCCTCGAAATTCGGGTCAGAACCGACCACGCGAAAGAAGGGCCGGGGAGTAGAGGTATCTGTATTTTTTGACACGCCCTTGCCCATTCGGTCCGCCCGCGGTCGGTCTCGCTCCCGCATGGGCGTGGGCGCCACAGGGTCTTGCATCTTGGAGCCGGCTTGTGGTCTGAGGCGGCCAGCGAGCAGCAAGGGCGGGAAGAGGTTCGTGGTTTTGGGTTCGATCAGGTGGTTTGCCTTTTCCAGCCTCCAGAGTCCTTTGCTGGACACCGTGACCGTAAGACGTAGATCAAGAGCGAAAGACTGCAACTGGTGGACACCCGTAGGGGTCCTGGGACCGATTTTGATGGGATTTGCCCGTATGCCCCCTTCTTGACTTCCTGGCCACCTCCACCTTGCATCTTTCGGAAAAGGCCAAGAAGGGGGTGATGACAATGAGGGGAGATCATGGCAGTAGCCATGATATCTCCCCGGTATTCATGGCCCGCTCTTCTGATATAAAGACGTCGCGCTCCCCCCTCGTTGGGCCGCGCGGATTCGCGAACCCTCTTTCGGACGACCCCCCTGTTGGACGCCGCCAGGTCCTTGCTATGGGCCTTTTGCTGTGGATAAATATTGCGGCCTCCGCCGTTACTCTGCAGCATGCGAGGCATGTTGAAGTAAGTCAAAATTCAACAAATAATGACCCGCAGGTCTGATATGTGCCCTCCCGCACCGGAGGACCCCCTCCGTTGTGGCACATCTGAAGGCTCTCGTCATAGTACCCGCCACGGTCTCGCCCTCAACCCGCTTTGACATTTTATGGAGTGCGAGTGTTCGGTCGCCCACAGCAGCGCGAAGGTAATCGCGCCTTCCTTCAGGGGACCCGCACGATCGCGCGAAGGTCATCTTGCTTCGCGCAGCGCGAAGATCGAAAGCATGTAGTTTAGCGATTCTAGCTCGCGAGGGGGGAGGACGATCCTGGGCTTTGTTGCGGTGGTGCATGGGTGGATGGTCACCACTCAAGGGAGGATAAAACCCACCCCGACCCCCAGAATTGGCGTTTACTCAACTGTCTTGGGCGTTTACGAGGCAGCCCTGCCTTGCGTTTTCTCCTGGGCTTCGACACGATATTCGTTCGTTATTTAAGGGGGTGCTTTTTCTGCCCTGGGGCGAGGTGCTCGATGCTTACACTGCCACAGGAGAACTGACGTCATCAAGGTGTCAAATGCGGACGCCGAGACGGGCGCCAGTGAGGCGGCTGCGCCTCCAGCAAGCAGGGTCGGAAAGGCGCCGACGGCCAAGGAGGAGAGGCCCTTATTCGCGGAGGACGGCGACGACGATCAGAGCGACAATGATGACACATGATTGCTGGGCCTACGTGCACGTTCGTGCCACCGTCGGAGACGCTCCTGGCCCGCAAGAGGAGGCAGGCCCGCCTCGGCCCGGGCCCGCTCGAGCTCGAGCAGGCCCTCTGGGTTTCCCGAGGCTGGCGCGGTTACGCAGGCAGCATCGAGCCCAATCCGCCCAGCCCAGGCCAGCCGGCGGCATCCTTCATTGCCGCTCGGCTCCGCCCCATACCCCGAAAAGCCAACGGGAAGGTGCTGCTGGCTACTTGGAGCCACCTTCGCCGAGGCCCGCGATGCTCGGCCGCGTGCCGCCTCGGCTTGCGCAGGGCGGGGTCCGCGGCAGAGGCGCCAGGGGCGAGGGCCGTCGGCGGAGGTGCGGGGGCCCCGTCGCCTTATGTCGGGCGTGTCCCCCTACAGGGGGATTTTCGACGAAACAATTATCCAAGTGCGACCCTACCTAGGAGTTGGAACCCCTAGGAAAGCAGCATTAGTAGTAACAGTAACGCTAAGCAAAAGCTTAGCTAAAGCTAAGCCACAGCTAAGCTAAAGCTAAGCTAAAGCTAAGCTGAAGCTAAGCTAAAGCTAAGATAAAGCTAAGCTAAAGCTGAGCAACAGCTAAGCTAAAGCTAAGCTACAGCTAAGCTAAATATAAGCTAAAGCTAAGCTAAAGCTAAGGTAAAGCTAGGCTAAAGCTAAGCTAAAGCTAAGCTACTGCTAAGCTCAAGCTAAGCTAAAGCTAAGCTAAAGCTAAGCTAAACGCTAAGCGAAAAGCTAAGCGAAATGCTAAGCTAAAGCTAAGCTACAGCTAAGCTAAAGCTAAGCTAAAGCTAAGCTAAAGCTAAAGCTAAAGCTACAGCTCCCAGGGGACTGGGGGGAACCGCTCCCAGGGGACTGGGGGAACCGCCCGGGGCGTGTTCCACTGCCCGGCCCCTTCAAGCTAAGAGAGTAAGAACCCTTCTAGGCAGAGCCTAGGTAGGGAAAACTTCTCCAAAAATGCCCCCCAAAGGTAAAACACATTCAAATTATCCCAGTGCGACCCTACCTAGGAGTTGGAGCCCCTAGGAAAGCAGCATTAGTAGTAACAGTAAAGCTAATCTAAAGTTAAGGTAAAGCTGAGGCAAAGCTAAGGTAAAGCTAATGTAAAGCTAAGCTAAAGTTAAGACTATGCTATGCAATACTGTGCTATGTTATGCTATGCTGTGCTATGCTATACCATGCTATGCTACGCTAAGCTAAGCTACATTAGGCTAAGCTAAGCTCAGCTAAGCTAAGCTAAGATAAGCCAAGCAAAGCTAAGCTAAGCTAAACCGAGCTAAGCTAAGCCAAGCTAAGCTAAGACGAGATAAGCTAAGCCAAGCTAAGGGGGCGCTATGCTAAGCTATGCTGAACTATGCTATGCAATACTGTGCTATGATATGCTATGCTATGCTGTGCTATGCTATGCTATGCTACGCTAAGCCAAGCTACATTAGGCTAAGCTGAGCTAGGCTAAGCTAAGCTAAACTAAGCTAAGGTAAGCCAAGCTAAGCTAAGCTAAGCCAAGCCAAGCTAAGCTAAGACGAGATAAGCTAAGACGAGATAAGCTAAGCCAAGCTAAGGGGGCGCGACTGGGGGAACCGCGGGGCGGGGACTGGGGGAACCGCCCGGGGCGCTTTCCGCTGCCGGGCCCCTTTAAGCTAAGAGAGTAAGAACCCTTCTAGGCAGAGCCTGGGTAGGGAAAAATACTCCCCAGATTATGTTTTAATTATGTTTGGGCTATTTTTGTGTTTTTTTTTTTTCACCGACAATCCCCCTGTAGGGGGGCAGGCCCGACTTAACCGTCGCCCGGAGGCGCGCTGGGGCCTTGGCACGCGGGCCGCCGCGGGGGCATCGACTGCACGCGAGCGTGGCCCCCTCGCCGGAGTGGCCTTTGGTGCGGGCCCACCGGGGGGCCTTTCCGGTGGCCGCGCGCGCTGCGGTGGCCGCGCCTCGCGCGCTCGTGTCTGGCCCCGGATAATTCGGGCGTCCAGAGCCCCACATCATCAGGGGTAACTCGGGTCAGGGCTAACTCGGGTTCCCTTCGGGAATCCAAACCCGAGTTACCTCGGACCCGAGTTACCCCGGATAACTCGGGCGCCCAATAGGGTCACTCCTGCGTGCAGCCGAAGGAAACCAGAAGCTCCTGGTCCTCGCCGATGTTCGGCCAGGGTGTGCAACGGGGGAGCAGACCAAAAACGCCATGAACATAAATGTGTGGCGCTCCGTGCGGGTCTCTTGGATCCGCGCTGCCCATCCCCCCCCGGCGCCGCCCCGGGCGTGCTCCGCGCGCCAGGGAGGGGTGTCCAGCGCAGATCCAAGAAATCCGGGCGGAGCGCCAAAAGTTTAGGTTTGTGCCGTTTTTCCTTCTAGTGAAGGGGAGCCGCACGGTCTGTCGGTGATTTTCGTGCAGCACTCCATTGGTTGCAAGTTGTTTCGACGTTTTGCGCTGCTTCGAACGTGGAGGCAGGGGAGCATGCCATCAATTCGTGCTGGTGACGATGCACGACGCTTGAAAGATATGCACCGCCCAGCAAACGTGCAGCCGCTGTTCTCGTGAGCGACGGAAAACAGTTTGGATTTCTCTGTCTGGATAGTTTCACCATTTGTTCGCCGTATCCCTGATCGCTCTTTTCATCATCTGTTCTGCTATGGTCGCACGTCGTGTACTTCCCGAGCACTGAGAGGTGGTCGTTTCTACTCCCAGTGTGCGGTCTCGGCGATCATCCCGCGCTCCAGAAACTGTTGGCGCTGCGCGCGGATTTCTTGGATCCGCGCTGGGGGCCCCCCTGGCGGCGCCTCCGGCTCCGCCCCTGGCGCGGTCCGCGCGCCAGGGAGGGGGTCCAGGGCAGATCCATGAAATCCGCGCCAAAATTTATGATTCTGGATTTTGTTTGTCTTCTGAGGAAAAGGTACCGACGCCCCTACCACTGCTTCGTTGTCCCCTGTTTGGGCCTCCTGGGAGGCCCTCGTCGCCACCGCTGGATTCGCTTCGAAGTCCTTGTCAGAGCGCATCCCAAGAGAGGTCCTGGGAGTGGCGGTGTTCCTTTTCATAGCGGCTGCACGCAAGAGTGACCCCAGGCACGAGTGACCTTTTGGTGCCCGGACGGAGGGGGCGCAAGGTGGCCAAATCCAATCGCGCAATCAGCCGTTATCGCATCGCGCTCAGCGATCGGGGGGACCCCGATGAGCCCGCACCAAAGGTCATTCCAGCGAAGGGACACTTGCGTCTAGTCGATCATACGCATCTACAAAGATTTTCGCTGAAGGAAGACAACAGTGTGAAAATCCGGAATTTCGCCAGAATGCCAACACTCGGATTTCAATGCCGCGAATCATTGTTTCTATTGCGTCTTGACGATACTGAATCCTTCCAAAACGCCTGCCTTAGGAACTTCAACACAACAAATCAACGTAACTGGTACTCCCTGATAGTCCGACATCGTGTCAACTCACCATGTTGGGCAGGCCAACCATCATAATCTGTGAAACTCATGTAAATTATGGACGATCCTCTCAACCTCACCAACCCATCCAGAAACGATGCCAAGACGAGTTACCCTTATTAGGGATGTGGAGGAGCATGCAGTGGAATAAAGGGCTGGGGAAGCCGTCATGCCCCAAGAGGGGGAGGATGGATGAGGAGGTTGAGGGGGCAGGAGGAGAAGGAGGAGGAGGAGGACAAGGAGGAGGGGAGGAGGAGGAAGACATGGAGTATCAGCAGAAAGTTGAGGAGGTCGAGGAGATGGTGGAGGTGCAGGAGGAGGGGGTGGGGGAGAGGAAGGAGGAGGGAGGAGGGAGGAGGAGGAATTGGCGGATGAGGAGGATGCGAAGGAGAAGAGCAGCCCATCCAGAGAAGATGCCCAGACGAGTTGCCATGATCAAGGACGTGGGGGGAGCATACATAGGAACACAGGGATGCAGATTAGAATTCGGAGGGAACGAGGAATAGAAGGAGGAGGAGGAGGACTAGGGCAAGGAGGTGGAGGAAGGCGGAGGATAGCGTGGAAATCGAGGAGGAGGAAGATGAGGAAGAGGAGGAGGAGGAGGAAGAGGAGGAGGAGGAGGAGGCGGAGGAGGAGGAAGAGGAGTAAGCGGATGAGGATGGGGAGGAGGGGGATGAGGAGGAGGCGAAGGAGGAGGAGGAGGAGGAGGAGGAGGAAAAGGGCGAACCGAAGAGCCATAAGCCTTTCGGATGTCGTTTGGACGCTTTTTGGATGCCTCTTGAGGCGTCTTGTGGGGCATATTGGCGGGTCCATGGCTGTCTTGAACCGTCTTGGATGCCTTGGGGATACTCTTGAGGCATCGTTGGGATCTCTGTGGAGCCTCTTAAGAGGCTTATCGGTGCCTCTAGGAGCCGCCTGGGCGCCTCTTGGGGCCCTCTTGGGGCGCTCTTGGGAGCTTTAGGTGCGCTCTTGGAGCCACCTTGGAAGGCATAGAGGCAACAGGAAGCGAGCTTCAACCAGCCTTGTCCTTCTAGAATACCAGAGCTGGCCTCTTGGGCGCTCTTGGGGGCGCTCTTGGAGCGCTCTTAGGGCCGTCTTGGGGTTCTTTTGGGCCACTTTTGGGGCCCTCTTCGGCCATTGGAGCCACCTTGGAGCCATCTTGAATCTTGAGGCCTCGGATGGCCATCGGAAGCGTAAAGGCGAAAACGCCAAAACCATTGATTGTTCCTTAGGTTTGTGAAGGATGTTGGTCTTTGGGGGGCCTTCTTGGGGAGCTCTTTAGGCACTTGTGGCCTCTTGGAGCATCTTGGAAGCCATATTGAGCGAACTTGCGCCATCTGGAGCCATCTTGGAGGCCATCTTGCAACCTCGCAGGCCCTCCTCGAGCCGTCTTGGGCCATCTTAGACGCTCCAACCCCTCGCGAAACCCCCGTCCAGGTCCAGGGGAGGGGGTAAGGGTGACGGGTAAACCGCTCCCCGAAGGCGAACAATGAGGGTTGGATGGGGAAGCTCCCTAGACAGCCTTCGCCCAGGGGGCTGGTGGGATTTTCAAGACGAG